CTGCAGCTGAGGCCTGCTCAGATTCTCAGAGGTGATAGGATTGTGGAACTTGGCATGCTAAGCATTGCACCTTTTTAAAAGGAAATTTTACAATAGGAGTGAGTGTGAATGGGAAATTGCATCTCTCATTTTTTACATCTGGGGTAAAGGAAAAACAATAGTCTTCTGAAGAGTACAGTCTTCTAAAAGCACATACCTCTTTGGGGCTTTCTCAGTTAACATCAAATCTAAGATCCCTTCACTGCTTAGCATATGCTGAGCTACCCATAGTAACATTTTTGTGCATCCATTCAAGAAAATTGTTTTGCCTGCTTCCTATTTACAGCTTGTTGGTACGTTGAAAACCAAGCAAAACGAATCCTTGAAAATACCAGGCTGCTACGCATACTGTTTCTACAGCATTAGCACAGTTTTAGATAGCTCAGCCACTTCTAAGGCATTGTCCTTGTGGTAGCCTGGATCAGAGATTTGCTGAACTTGTTCAATCCATATTCAGGATGTAATATATATACTGTGATCAAAGGTAGTCCCCAAAACCAAGCAGCCCCATAAAATACGTGAGGGTCGGAAGTACGCAAGAACCTCTTGCATCTCTCCTAGGCTTCAGAGATCAGTAGTCGCATTTCAGTTGAATTCAGATTGCTCCAGAAGTGGTTGAGAGAATCTGATGTATTCTTGCAGCTAGGAGTTTTATCCTTGGTTTGTTAAATCGACTTGTCCCGTGTTTTGGACTTCCTGGAGCCTGGGTTATAGTAAATCCAGGACTAGTAAATGTAAAACTCATCAGCTGTGACAGGTCCTTTCTCCAAGTGTAGGATAACCTCAGTATCATTAGCTGCAGTTACAAATGGGCTCATAAAGAGGTAATTACTTTTCAAAGGTACTCATGCTTAGAGATGCAAGTACTAATCTAGGGGGAATTTTATACCAGAGCCTAATCACTGTCACAAATTAGCTCAGGGACTTCTCCAGCTTCCTCAAGCTTATCTGTAAGCATCTTGAAATTTTTCTCTGACTATGAGGAGACCTGCCAGACACTAAAAACTTAAGAGTAAAGGATCTAGTATAGGAAAAAAAAAAATTGCGCTCTAGATTCTATTAAATTCACAGGAAAGAAATTCCCATAGTGTGTTGATGTTCTGCGTTCTTGAAACTTGCACCCCAAAGTCCGTGTAGGTCTAGACTATTAGCTCTTCTTCCAAGAGTTTGATAGTAGTAGTATGCAAGTATCCTGCTCTTCACTGAAGGAGTGCTGAAGTGCCATGGAAAGTGGTTTTGCACTGGTTTTTTCCCTTTCACCCTAGACTCAGACTTCAGCTTGCATGGCTTAATTCATAAATGAGCAATAGCTGATTGGCAAAGGTTCATTTCGCCACATGCCAAGATGAGTTGGACGCTCTGAGGGGATTGAGACTGACGGATAAATATCTGTCACGTGTAGGTGGCCTATAAGAAAAGATTTGAGGTTTTTCTTTTTAAGTCTTTGTTAAGACTTTTCCCCCCCCACTCTTTAAACTCTCTTGTCATGTGCTGAGTGGGGGTGGATGGAGATCAGGGTGGTGGGGAGAGAAGGGAGGGCTGCTGAAAGCATTTATCTTCATTTCTGCCATCACCCAGTGTTTATTACGCAGTGATAGACAGACGCAGGAAAGCTGCCAATCAAACCTACGTTCACTGCATTTCAATTCGTCTTCACTTTGGATTTCAGCATTTTGAAATCTACATCATCTCTGCAGTAAAAGGTCGTTCTGTTCGTGGGGATGACAAGTCTGAGACCCTCGGGTACCCACTGCAGTCACTTGTGATTCCATCAGACAGTGGAAGACCCAGGAGTCAGGACAGACTGTCAAGTGCTTGGTGAGAACTGCGGCTTGTTAGAGATGATCTGCTGCTGCCCACATTTAAGAAGCTGTGTTGTTTGCCTCCAGGTTACACTAGAACTTAAGAGGCAACAGCACCTTCTCCTGCTCTTGCCCAGGCTGAAACCCTGGCTGAGCAAAGGCAGCTGAGGATGAGTTCTCACGCTGAACACAAGATCTGTGGTGAGGACTTAACTTTTTTAGGCTTTCCCTCCACGGTCTCAAATCTTCCCTATCAGTCAAAGGAAAAAGTGCACAGCAAAGATTAGGATAGCGTAGTTGTGCACTTGGGGAGGGGGTATTTTCCTCCCTGAATTGAATGTATGAAATGTTTGCATGCTTTTAATCGTCTTTACTGGAGGACAGTGCCTGCATGCAAGTGGGAGGCTTCTGGCAGGACTTGTGATACAAATGTTATTCTACTTTGTATATGTAGCTAGATATAATTTAATAATTACACTTCTCAATTACATAATTAGTATAAGTAGGGGTAATTACTTAATAAAAACATGTAGATCGTGGATTTGCCGTTAGGCACACTGGTTTGGAGCCTTTGAGAAATGACCTGAATACTTCTGAATGTGCACTTTTCAGTTTATGAACCTTGTTCCCTGGGTCCTAATCTTTTCGACGATGGCTTTGGCTGGCTCTGAAATTTGTGCAGAGCTGTCTGGCAGATGGGGAGGTACTGCGTTTTTCCATTGTTAGCTTTTCTGTGTAGGATATGACTGCCTTTGGATATGAAGGGGGTGTGAGGTTTAAATGAACACCAGACCTGAAAGTTCTGGGGAAAGAGATAAGAAGTCCAGAATCTTTACAGAAAAAAATTCAAGAACATTTGCCAACAGCTTTTTTTTTTTTTTTTTAATGGTACCTGTAGCATTAGGTGCAACAGTTGTATGAGGCAGATGAACTTGCTGTTTGTGGAGCAGTTGGTGATGTTCCTAGGCTTCTGTGATGTAGAGGGAACACACAACTACTCTCCTAGGGCATGTTATTCTTCAGTTACGTATGACTTGCTATGCCTACAAAGGTTGATCTCCTTGCAAAACATAGGATGACTTTGTAATGTTCACCTGTAATAACATCAGTATTCTGGAATTATGTGCCCTGAGTAGTACTTCTGTCACCTGTCTTTGCTGAGTGTTCCCTTGTCTGACTAAGTCCTGTAAGGAGTTGCTGCCTAGTTGGTGATGTTAGTTACCATTTCCCTGCAGCAAGTCCCACTCTTGAAATTTGTACAGAAACTGGTTTTCTGTTCTTTGGCTGGAGGCAAGACAGCAGTAGAGTGCCCTGTGTACCACACCCGGGCTGGCATTGCGGAGACTTTTAAAGATGAAGCAACATAAAATTTAATTGAGCTTCTTCCACTTCTGGTTGCAAAATGTAATTTCATTAATGCATTGAATCTGCTTTCTCTAGTGCATATCTTTTGTTCAGAGGAGCCCTTTGCTTTTGGGGGATATGGAGAACAAGGCCTTGGGCGTATGTAAGAGCAATGGAAATGTTTAATTTTGCTCTCCAAGTGATATGTGCGTGTCTGACGGGCAGATACAGAGGCTGAGCAGACACAGGGTGAAGGTTTGTCAGTCGCTGGAGGCCTGGCATAGCTGAGGACACATTGTGAAGCCGGCTGCTCACAACTCTTGCTCTCAATGCATCTCTGAGCTTTCTCCAGAACCAAAAATCAGGATTAGAGGCAGTTTATTGATGAAAAGAGGACTAGCAGCAGCCTTCTTAGTGTCTTTATCAGCACCAGTCTAGAATTTACTTCCCTACTTTGCCCTGCCCACCTTGTTCTTTACTTTGCAGAGAAAACATAAACCTTTTCAGTTTGTGTGTGTTTTCAGACCTCTTTTTTGCCATGCCTGAGTGTTCTGCTGGGATTTGATATGAAAAGTAAAAATCCAGCCACCACAGTCTCCTCATTTTCCTCCACACTACTTTCATTTACTAGCAGTTAACAAGCTTTTAGCTCCCTGTGCAGGCAGCTGGCCTGCTGTGTACAGAGTTGTCAAAGTGATGTCTCTTTTGCTGTGGCTGCTGTGGCAGCAGAGTCCTGAGCCAGCGCTCCTGGGAGAGTGAAGCGACTGACTTTTCTGTGTGCTTCCTGCTGGAGACAGTGTGGAGATGCCGAAATCCAGACCATGTAGACTCCGGAGGCTGTGCTTTGCCTCGTTTGTTCTTGGGGATGATCCTGTTTTGCTTTCCCTTATCAAACACTGTGACCTTCAGTTTCTGTAGGTGCTATCATGTGTGTAGTACAAGGGCTGTGTGTGTACGAAGGCCTTAGAGACTGCAAATAGCGTGAGATTTTTGACTCTAGTACTATTATAAGATAGCTGTTTCTTCTCTCCACTTGTCTCCCTAGGGATTGCATTTTATGGCTCTGAGCTTTCTCATGTGCATGCTGATTTCAGTTACCAGTGGCAGTTTCTTTCTGCCTGGAAAATTGTTTTTTGTGCTAGTTTCTGAAGTATTCTGTTTAGCCTTATGCTTTGGGCTGCTGCCCAAAACTTTGTGTGGTTAGCAAGGGTCATGTTGTTTGCTTGGAGTCCAGACAGCCCCTGCCTGCTGTAGGTTGGGCCACACAGAGTAGCAAAGGGCCAGCTTGTAGGTCTTCCTTGCTAATATTTCTGGTACAGTCATTACTGTGTGGCAACTATTGTAGGCAACCTGTATCTTCTGAACGGAGTTTACAGTGGTAGCAGGGGTTATGTCCACACGTGTGCGATTTTGCAGGGCAGCACTTTTCCTTAGTATGCATCCAGTTCTGCCTTCATAGATGTACTAGAATATTGTGGGTCTGTGAAAAAGCAGCTTCACTGGTACCAATAAGCAGAATGCATTTGCACCAAATGAATTGATTAGGATTTCTGCCCTGTGAGTCTGGGCAAGTCTTATCTCTCATCAATGTTCTTTTCTTTCAGAAATGTGTTGCAGTGAGGTGCTTTCCTATTAATTTCCTGTGCTCTGTGGCTTATTTAGGAGGGGTTGCCATTTCTGTAAATAAGGTTTCTTTAAGAATATAGAGTTTTGTGTTTTGGATTTTGAAAGGTTTTCTATGGTTTTGTCTTTGCAGCTCTTTTCTGGATAATCTTCTGGAGGTTAAATTGCTAATTATTTCCTCCTTTTCTGTAGGTGCCGTGATTGGGGATGGACAGTCAGCTGTGGCCAGCAACATTGCCAACACCACCTACCGGCTCCAGTGGTGGGACTTCACCAAATTTGATCTGCCTGAAATCAGCAATGGTAAGCTGGAAAGGACACCAGTACCTTCTTTTAAGTCTATACTGACCAGAGCTACCATAAGCTCTAGGATCTTCCAAAGGTAGCTGTATGTTGTAGGCCTTGGATTACTTGCTGTTCTTGTGAAGAAAATTAACTCTGTCATGACTAAAATCAGCACACACTGGGAACTGTAAATCAGTTAGCCTTTTGAGAAAGGTGACTAAAAGCACACAGAGTTGTTCCTGCTCTGTCTCACCTGTGTGTCTGTGCTATCAGCAAATCCATGCATAAGCGCAGCTTTTTTGTGAGCATTCTTGTGGGAATATACAATCCTCTTAGAAGAATTCTGTGTGCAATCAACTCATTCTTTTACCAACAGGTTTCTAGAGGGATATTGTCTTTATACGTTTACATTAGAACCTGCTAATAAATTGGGTCTGAATTCTACAAGTTATTGACATTAGTGCGGGCTAAAGTGTTGCAATACATTTTGGGAACTGGGGCTCTGGTCTGTTGCGTACCACAGTATTGCAAACCAGGGAAAGTAGATGTAGCTTCAAGCCATTTGCAAAAGCAATGATTTGTCCTATATTTCAGGTGAAAGCTGCTTCTGGGTTGAGAATATGAGTGATACTGATGATTTTATTTGTTTATTCTTCTCTTTGTGAAAATTAGACCATAAGTTTTACATGTCATAGAATGGTTTGGGTTGGAAGGGAACTTAAAGTCCATCTAGTTCCAACCCCCCTGCCATGGGCAGGGACCCCTTCCACTAGACCAGGTTGCTCCAAGCCTCATCCAGCCTGGCCTTGAACACTCTCAGGGATGGGACACCCACCGCTTCTCTGGGCAACCTGTTCCAGTGCCTCACCACCCTCTCCAGGAAGAACTTCTTCCTGATATCTAATCTAAAACTCTCCAGTTTCAATTTAACCCCATACCCCGTTGTCCTGTCACTACAGGCCCTTGTAAAAAGTCCCCCCCAGCTTCCTTGTAGCCCCTTCAGGTACTGGAAGGTACTATAAGGTCTCCCCAGAGCCTTCTCTTCTCCAGGCTGAACAAGCCCAACTCTTTCAGCCTGTCCCCATAGCAGAGGTGCTCCAGCCCTCTGAGCATCTTTGTGGCCCCCTCTGGACTTGCTCCAATCAGTCTATATCCTTCCGATGTTGGGGGCCCCAGAGCAGTACTGGACGCAGTACTTCAGGTGGGGTCTCATGAGAGGAAAGGGAAAGAATCACCTCCCTTGACCTGCTGGCCACTTCTTTTGATGGAGACCAGGATACAGTTGGCTTTCTGGGCTGTAAGCACACATTGTCAGCTCATGTTCAGCTTTTCACCCACCAGCACCCCCAAGTCCTTCTCCTCAGGGCTGCTCTCCATCCATTCTCCACCCAGCCTGTACTTATGTTTGGGATTGCCCCAACCCAGGTGCAGGACCTTGCACTTGGCCTTGTTGAACTCCATGAGGTTGGCACAGGCCCACCTCTCCAGCCTGTCCAGGTCTCTCTGGATGGCATCCCTTCTCTCCAGCGTGTCAACCGCACCACACAGCTTGGTGTTGTGGGCAAACTTGCTGAGGGTGCACTGCACTCAATCGCACCAGAATTCCTTATCCACCGGGTGGTCCATCCATCAAATCTACGTCTCTCCAGTTTAGAGACAAGGATGTCATGTGGGTCAGCATCAAATGCTTTGCACAAGTCCGGGTAGATGATGTCTGTTGCTCTTCCCTTATCCACCAACACTGTAACCCTGTCCTACAAGGCCACCAGATTCATCAGACGTGATCTACTCCTGGTGAAGCCATGTTGGCTGTCACCAATCATCTCCTTAGATTCCATGTGCCTCAGCATAGTTTCCAGGAGGATCTTCCTCATGATCATGCCAGGCACAGAGGTGAGACTGACTGGCTTGTAGTTCCCCAAATCTTACTTTTCTCTCTTTTTAAAGATGGGGGTTATGTCTCCCCTTTTCCAATTGTGGGAACTTCACTACACTGCCATGATTTCTCAAATAAGATGGATAGTGACTTAGCAACTTAGTCCACCAGTTCCCTCAGGACCTGTGGGTGTGTATCATCAGTTCCCATGGACTTGTGCACCTTCAGGTTCCTTTTGTGGTCTTGAAACTGGTCTTCTCCTACAGTGGATGGTTCTTCATTGTCCCAGTCCTTGCCTTTGCCTTCTGCGACTTGGGGAGTTGTACTGTGACCACTTGCTGGTGAAGACTGAGGCAAAAAAGTCACGGAGTATCTCAGCCTTCTCCACATCCCATGTTACCAGGTTTCCTGTTTCTTTCTGGAGTGGGCCCACACTTTCTCTTGTCCTCTTTTTGTCACCGACATACCTGTACAAGGTTTTCTTGTTGCCCTTAACGCTCTGGCCAGATTTAATTCTGTCGGGACTTTAGCCTTCCTAACCCTCATCCCTGGATGCTCAGGCAATTTCTCTATTATTCCAGGCTACCTGTCCCTGCTTCCACACTCTGTAGGCTTCCTTTTTGTATTTGGGTTTGTCCAGGACCTCTTTGTTCATCCATGCAGGCCTCCTGGCCTTTTTGCCCGACTACCTCTTTGTTGAGACTCATAACTCCTGAGCTTGGAGGAGGTGATCCTTTAATATTAACCAGCTTTCCTGGGACCCTTTTCCCTCCAGGGCTTCATCCCATGGTACTGTACCAAGCAGATCCCTGAAGAGGCCAAAGTCTGCTCTCCTGAAGCCCCGGGTAGTGAGCTTGCTGTGCACCCTCCTCCCTGCCCTAAGGATCTTGAGCTCCATTTCATGGTCACTGCAGCCAAGGCTGCCCTTGGGCTTCATGTTCCCCACCAGCTCTTCCTTGTTAGTGAGAATAAGGTCCAGCATAGCACCTCTCCTCATTGTCTTCTCTGTCACTTGGAGAAGGAAGTTGTCATCAGCACATTCCAGGAACCTCCTAGATTGTTGGAGGGACAACACAGCAGGGCATAAGCAGAATTTGGGGTGATTGAAGTCCCCCATGAGGACCAGGGCTTGTGACCGTGAGGCTGCTCCTATTTGTCTATAGAAGGCCTCATCTGCTCAGTCTTCCTGATGTGGTGGCCTGTAGCAGACCCCCACTGTAGTGTCACCTGTCCCTGCCCTCCCTTTAATCCTGATTCATAAGGTCTCTCTGAGCTCCTCATCCATTCCCAGGCACATCTCCATGCACTCCGGCTGGTTATTGACATAGATGATGATACCTTGTCTCCCCTGCCTGTCCTTCCTAAAGAGCTGGTATCTTTCCTTTCCAACACTCCAGTCATAGGAGCCATCCTACCACATCTCTGCGATGCCAATAAGATCATTGCTCTGCAGGTGTGCACAGGTCTGTAACTCCTCTTGTTTTATTTCCCACGCTATGTGAGACGTGTTTAAGTTGGGCCCCTGATGAAGCTGACTTACTGGCTGTAGTGGCTGGAATTCCTTTGTGTGGTTTTCTTGAGGCTCTAGGCTTTTGCTGCCGCTGGCATCAAACTGTTCTGTGGCATAAGATAGCTCTTGCACTGGAAGAGACTTTATGCAGGCACAAGAATATTTGATGCCTGTGGTCAGCTGATCAAGAAACAACTTTTTCAGGACTAAAACTAACTTGACTAGAAAGGCTGTTTTTAACCCAGAATGGTACCCTGCTATAGCTTGCTGTACAGCTGCAGAAGTATTTGTGGCAGCCTGGAGTGAAGATAGGAGGTAGATATTCATGAATGTTTCTTTGTACAGTGATTTTTAGCTTAGGCCATCTCTGTGCACATGTGAAATTCATTGCTTGACTTCTCAGCAAAATCAGGTTGGGTTCTACTTTAAGACTTCTTAGGGAGAACAGGGATTATCTTTTCAGAAAGACTTCTGCTTTCACAGGTAGCCACTGAAATTAAGAAAAAATTTTTCCCAGTCCCAGCCCTTTCTGTTCTGCTATTCTAGAAATTATGTATTTGACAAGAGAGGTCTCTTTGGGGTACTGTCCTGTTGCTTAAAGAACCCACAAAAGGAGCACGTGTAGTGGCACCATAGCAGCAGAGATGGGGAATTGAAATCATAGAATCACACAATGGTTTGGGTTGGAAGGGACCTTGAAAGACCATCAAGTCCACCCCATCTGCTGTGGGCAGGGACATTTTTCAATAGATCAGGTTGCTCAAAGCTCCATTCTATCTGATCTTGAACACTTCCAATGATGAGGCATCCACAGCTTCCCTGGGCAACCATTTACCTCTCAGTCCCCAGGAATTCAGAGGAGCTGGGAGAAAGCTACCAGTAGCCCATCCCATTCAAAAAGCTTTCTTACTGTGTTATTCCTAGAGGTAAAGTATCGGGTGTTTCTGCCCCACACCCTTCTTTCATATTGTGTGGAATATTGTGGTGTGATGGTTATAGCCTGCTTGGAAATAAAAGCCCTGCTTGCATAAGGGTTGGAACTGGATGATCTTAAAGGTCCCTTCCAACCCAAACCGTTCTGTGATTCTAGATGATAGCCTTTGACACTGTAAAGGGGGAAGATGCTTTATGTTTTTTCCTTGAGAACTATTCTGTCTCTTGGGAAGGAGCAGGTAGTGTCATCCTGAAAGTGGAATACTGTGGTGAACTTGTGTGCCATTGCTTTGACATATCTTAAGTGCCAGACTTACTGATGTAAGGTTGTAGGCTGAGGATCAGTGCTGCAGGCTGAGTTTTGCCATGAGGTGGCAATACTTTCCATGGTTCAGTCAGACTCTGGAACAGAGTAAAGGTCAAGTCAGAGGGGGAAGCATCTTGCTGCAGACTTAAATACATCGGGACTTCTCTGAAAGCTTGTAAAGTATTTGAAGAGTGCTACAGCTGTTAATAGCTTTTCTTTTTTGGCCTCATCTGGCTGCTGAGAAAGCGGCTGCTAATTAAAAAAAAAAGGGCATAAGATGTTTGTTTATAATTTATGGAATCCCATAGAAAATAAGAACCATCTGGTCCTCAAGACATCAATATTTCAATCTTCTTCCTCTCCCTTACCAGGACACTTCCATTCTGAAATAG